CGCGCTACCCCCGTGAATGTGAGATACGCATGAGAGACGGGGGATGTGCATGGTCGTTCTGGTCCGTCAGACACAGTACACAACAAATGTACACTATTCTAACACATATATGGGTTACACACAATTACAACACCTACACATTAATCACAACACAATACACACGATACACAAATCACACCCATATAAGTCAGTCTTTTTTCAAGTTTAAAATGGAAATGTGTGATGTAAACAACATTATACCCCAAGCAGGTACCTCGACAGAGGGTAATCCTGCCGTCGATTCCGATCGGGTGAAAGCCCCGGTGGTCGACGCAAGGCCCACGGATTTTGGGGGTGGCCAACAGCACACTGGTCCTTCTGACCATAACGGTGACTCAAAAATGGAGACAGAGGTTGTAGAAACCTTTGCCTCCATTACAAGGCAAACAAATACATCCCTGTTGATTGAGGGATTTAAGAAGATGCTTCTTCTTATGGAAAGGGAATGCAAAGTTTCGGAGGAAATGTCCAAAACCCTTAAAGTTGTGAAGGAGGGCATCCTGAAGAACAACCCGAAGCCAGTAAAGGACAGTGCCGTGGAGGCCTTTCACCTTAGTGAAAGTGCCGCCGGCATTGCCAGGGATTTAAAAGAGGAGGGGGGAGAGCTTTTTAAAAAACTAGAAGCTGGCCCTCTCCTCCTAAAGGCAAGAAGAAATATCCCGAAGCATGCTAATAGTCCTATGGGGACTCCCCTCTCAAATAAAAAGAAGAGGGGGGCTTCAACGACACCCCAGGATAGGGTTTCGAAGAAAGGAAAGGGGTCCGAGTCACCTCGGCAGATTGATAGAGAGCCATCTGCTGATGAGGTTCGGGAAACCGCTGGGGATGATGGGGATACCTGGATTAAGGCCACAGGGAAAAGGAAAAAGAAAAAAAAGAAAAGTGGGAAAGAAAAAATTGGGGAAGACCCAGAGGGGGGACCCAAAAAAAAGCCCGGGGAAAGAAAAAAAAGAGAAGGGACACAGATGCCATAAAAATAAGCGCCAAGAAAGAGGAAGATTATGGCAAGATCATGGATGATATGTTCGCAGGGGTCAGCCCTGTTGAAAACAACGTTGAGATCCTGTCAGTCCGTAGATCCAGAAAGAAGGAAGTTCTTCTGGTTCTTAGGAAGGGGCAGGATCTTACGCGGTTCAGCAGTGAGCTGGCTACTGTCCTCAGAGGTCAGGCGGAAGTCACGACTGTGGTCTCGACGAGGTCGGTAGAAATCGTTGACCTCGACGAAACCGTAGTCGAAGAAGGAGTACAAAAGGCAGTACGGAGTTGTCTGGGCAAGCCCGACTTGGAAGTGCCTTGCCATCTAGTTGCTCAGTACGGCGGCACGCAGATGGCGATTCTGCGTCTGCCAGATGCGGACGCGGAGTCGCTTTTGAAGACCGGTCGCATTAAGATCGGCTGGGTTAACTGCAGAATCCGGGCTAGAGTGGAAGTAGATAGGTGCTTTAGATGCCTTTGCTACGGCCACTTGGCACGGGGCTGCGGTGGCCCAGATCGAAGGAACGCTTGTTGGAAGTGTGGTGGCCTGGATCACAAGAGCAGGTCCTGCAGGAGCCCAGCTAGTTGCATGACTTGCTCCGACAAGGGGTCCAAGGAGATAAGCCACCTTCCGGGAAGCAGGGCTTGCCCAGTTTATTGGGGAATCCTGTCTGGTTTGAAAGCCAAAGTTCGGGGTCCTCCAGGTTAACCTCGGAAGAGGAAGAGTCGCGCAGGACCTCCTGATGCAGACTGCCAGGCAGAGGAAGGCCGATATACTGATCTTCAGTGAGCAGTATAGAAAGCCACAATTCTCTGTCTGGTTTCAGGACGCATCAGGGAGGTCCGGGATACAAGTTTGCAACCCGGACATCGTTGTAGGCGATTTCCTCGAGACGGATAAGGGCTTCGTTTGGGTGGAGGTGGCGGGTGTTCGTATTTACAGCTGCTACTTCTCCCCAAACGATCCCCTTGAGAAGTTCGACACCGAGATTCGCTCTCTTGAGGAAAGCGTAAAAGCTTTCGGCGGGGATGTCCTCATTGCGGGAGATTTCAATAGTAAGTCGCCGGAATGGGGGGAGACCCGCCAGGACAGGAGAGGAATCTTGGTCACCGATATGGTCTCGGCGAATGACCTGGTGGTGATGAACCGGGGCAAACAGCTCACTTTTAGGCGAGGAGCGTCAGGGTCAATTCTTGACCTGACATTTGCATCTCCTCGCCTGGCCCGCAGAGTAAAGAACTGGAAGGTGCTGGATCAGGTGACCGAGGTCACCTGGACCTGGATTTCAATCTCCGAGGAAGAGCCGGGAGGGTGCAATCGTCCACAAAAGGGCAAAAAGAAATCCTCTTGGAACCTCAGGAGACTAGATAGGGAGAAGTTGGTAAAGACCCTGGCCGAAGCTCGCCTCATCAAGAGGTCCGGCTGGCAGAAGGAGCCAACTTCTGCAAAGGGTATAGCGCAAGAGGCGAGGCAGATTATAGCGGATGCTTGCAACTGCTCCATGCCTCGCCGGCGCCAAACAAAAGCTAGGAAGGGTGCTCTGTACTGGTGGAGCGATGAATTAGCCCGCTTAAGGAGAGAATGCAATGCAGCGAGGAGGAAATATACCCACTCGAAGGGAGACCTCACGCTGCAAGAAGATTGGCATAAAGCCAGGCGAATCTTCAAGCGGGCTATAAGGAGTAGCCAGCGAAAGTGCTGGAAGGACCTAATCGGGAAGACCGAGAATGATCCATGGGGTTTGGCGTTTAAAATTGTAACTAAGAAATTAGTTTCAAGACAAAAAACCCCTGGTCTAGGCGATCCGATTTGGGTCCAAAAAATCATAAGAGCGCTGTTTCCCCATGTGGAACCGAGCCCCAGGGAGGACTATACTTGCGTAGTACAGATGGAGGAGCTCTTCACGCTTGAAGAACTTAAAAAGGCGGCAAGGGAGTTGAAAAATGGCAAGGCGCCAGGCAGGGATGGAATACCAAGCGAGATCCTAAAAGAGGTCGTCGCGGTATACCCAGAGTTGCTTCTCAACGTCTTTAATGCGTGTTTAAAAGCCGGAGAGTTCCTCAGCGACTGGAAAGCGCAAAAGTTGGTTCTCCTTAGGAAAGGCGATAAACCTCTGGATAAAGTCTCATCGTTCAGACCAATTTGTTTATTGGACACGATGGGCAAACTTCTAGAGGGGATGGTTCTAGAAAGACTTCAGGGAATCCTGGTAGGCGAAAATAGCCTATCAGAGAACCAGTTTGGCTTCCGGAAAGGCCGGTCAACAGTTGATGCAATACTATCTGCTGTGAAACTGGCAAAGGAAGTCAATCAGGGGAAGAGGAAGGGTTTCTGTGCTCTTGTTTCCATCGACATCCGGAATGCGTTCAATTCCGCGAGATGGGACATCTGCATTGAGTCAATGAGACGCAAAGGAGTGCCGACTTATCTGTTGCGAATGATAGACAACTATCTCAGCGACAGATGGGTCGTGTACGAAGGCAATGTGTTCCATCTCAGGGAAGAGATGACCTGCGGGGCACCACAGGGGTCTAAGGTGGGTCCATTCATATGGAACGTCATGTACGACGATCTTCTGGGAATGGAGCTGCCCGAAGACACGATCCTGAAAGCCTTTGCAGATGACGTACTTCTGGTGTGTAGAGCGCAGGAAACCAAATTCCTCGAGATAAAACTCGATGAAAGTCTGCGACGAGTAGAGCGTTGGTTGTCTCGTCATGGCCTGCAAATGGCATTAGAGAAGAACGAGGCTCTGCTTGTTACAGTCCGGCGAGTTTTTGAAGCCCCAAAGGTGAAAATAGGAGGAACTGAAGTCTCATGGGGAAATCAACTTAAGTACCTGGGAGTGACGTTGGACCGAAGGTTAAGCTTCGGTCCTCACGTGAACATCACAGCACTCAAGGCCGCCGAATGTATGGGTAACCTATCTAGGTTAATGCCCAACATCGGTGGTCCCAGGGAAAAGAAGCGGCGCTTGGTGGCGACCGTGGGTCTAGCAAAGCAGCTTTATGCTGCCCCTGTATGGGCTGATGCCCTTAAGACCCACGCCATCTTGGACAGGTTGCTCTCTGTGCAGACAGGAAGCGCACGGAGAGTAATCTCAGCCTACAGGACGGTGTCTGATTGCGTTGCTCTAGTTCTTGCGAGTACACCGCCAACAGATTTGTTGGCAAGAGAAAGACAGGAAGTCTTTCAGCTCAATAAAGAACGAGTTGTCTCGCAGGAACAACAGAGCGGCGGTAGCCTAAAGATGGCTATCCGCAAATCGGCAAGAATCAGACTAGTCGATAGTTGGCAGGCAAGATGGGATGGGGAATCCAAAGGAAGGTGGACATACCGCCTGATTCCCCACCTCGCCACCTGGTTAGAAAGAAAGCACGGTGAGGTTGGCTATTACCTTACGCAAGCGATGACTGGTCACGGCTGCTTCGGTCAGTACCTTCATAGATTTAAGATCAGAGAAGAGGCGAAATGTGTGTATTGCGGCGCTGAAATAGACGACGCGGAACACACTCTCTTCTCCTGCGGGCAATGGAGTGAGCTAAGACGGGCCATGTTTGACGCGGTGAAAACTCAATTCACCGCTGATGACATGGTCTCAACTATGCTCCAAAGCGCAGACTCTTGGCGCCACATCGAAGACAAAAGATGAGGACGGAAGAAGAGGTTAACCTGGAGTAATCACTGGGGACGATTCGCGGGAGGGGGAGGAGGAACTAATTCTCGTTCCTCCTCCCACTCCCGCGGCTCCCCCCCGGTGGTTAACGGAAAGATTGTTGTTAACAAGGGACAGAGAGGAGTAAGAGAGAGGACTTCCACTTGCGAAGTAAAGCCATTAGGTAGTTCCGCAAGTGGAAATAGAGTCCTGGTAATGGGGAGTTGGTTTTAGTGGGTCGACAGAGAGCCTTAGGCTAACTTGTTTTAGCTGAAGCTACACTTTGTAGTGGCTCGGAGTTCATCCCCACATAACCTCATGGTACGGGCCATGAGGTATCTGATAATGAACAGATTTCCAACTTCCCTCGTAAAACAAAAAAAAAAATAATAATAATAATAATAATAATAATAATAATAATAATAATAATAATAATAATAATAATAATAATAATAATAATAATAATCGGTAGGGCCGAGGTTACGGCTCTTGTAAATAAGAGGTGTCTGGAATTGAACGGCCTTGATGAAACTACGACTGAGGAGGATGTAGTTTCAGTTTTGAGGGAGAAATTGGGGAAGCCTGACACGGACATAGTGTGCAGACTTCTGCCACGTTTTAGTGGCACAAAAGTTGCGTTGGTCCGCCTGGCAGAGGCTGATAGTCAGACTCTGCTCAAGATCGGCAAAGTGAGAATAGGATGGCTAAACGTCCAAGTCAGAGAGCATCTGGAAGTTGTGAGGTGCCTAAAGTGCCTTACATATGGACACGTGACCCGATCATGCAAAGGCCCCGACAGAACTAAAAACTGTCAGAGATGCGGCGGTGAGGGTCACATGGCAAAGAACTGTTCTGTCGAACAACCTAAGTGCTTAACATGCACAGATTTAGGAAAGACAGATATTGTCCATATATCCGGGAAAAGCTCTTGCCCGGTTTACAGGGAATTGCTGCAGAGGCTTAAAAAGGCAAACCCTTAAAGTTTCTGCAGGTCAACCTGCACACCTGCAGGACGGCGCAGGCCCTCCTGATGCAGACGGTCAAGGAAAAAGGGATCGACATCCTGTTCTGCAGCGAGCAACACAGGAAAAACGACCTCGCTCCTTGGTACCAGGATAAATCAGGTAGAGCCGCTGTTCAGGTGTGCAATCCTGAGCTGCGGGTTGCCAGGTATCTGGAGACGAGCAGTGGATTCGTTTGGGTAGAGGTTGCGGGCATACGTATGTACAGCTGCTACTTCTCGCCAAACGATGCACTGACGGACTTTGAAGCTGACATTCGGCAACTCGAGTCGAGCCTTAGAGGATCCAGGTTGGATGTACTCGTCACCGGAGATTTTAATGCTAAGTCGCCGGAGTGGGGCGAGTCAAGGCTCGATAAAAGAGGCAGAGTGATCGGAGAAATGGTCTCCAGGAGCAATTTAACGATTGTGAACCGGGGAAGGACATGGACGTTTAGGAGGGGTGCAATTGGATCAATCATTGATCTTACGATTGCATCATCTCCTCTATTCAGACGCATAAACGAATGGCGAGTCTCTGAGGAGTATACCGCAAGTGACCACCAGTACATCGAGTTTTCAGTCTCAGTGGGAGACACACGAGGAGGAAAGAGACAGGAAGCTCCTAGTCGCAAAACCTTCTCGTGGAACATTAAGAAACTCGACAAGGAGAAGTTCAGCCGGTCCCTAAAAGAATCTATCTTAATTGAGGATTCTGGTTGGGTGAGGAGGCCGAAAAGTCTAAATGGAGAGGTGCGAGCGGTGCGAAATATAATCGTCACCGCTTGCAATGCGTCGATGCCACGTCGCAAAGGCGCCTTTCCAAGGAAAAAATCCTTGCACTGGTGGTCAGAAAAACTGTCCTCCTTGAGAAAGGAATGCCTCAAAGCAAGAAGGACATATACCCGTTCTAAGGGAGATCCCTTGCTGAAAGAGGCTTTCAAGGAGGCGAAAAAGGACCTCAAGAAAGAGATCCGCAAGTCGCGACGCCGTAGCTGGAAGGACCTAATCGAGGAGGTCGATAAGGACCCATGGGGTCTGGCTTTTAAAATCGTAACTAAGAAATTAGTGACGAGGCAAAAGACCCCCGGTCTGGACAATCCCGATTGGGTCAGAAAGATAATAAGTTCTTTGTTTCCTCCTGCAGAACCATACCTTAGAAGGGACTGGAGTTTTTGCAAAGTCGAAGAGGAAGAACTCTTCACACTTAGTGAACTGAAAAAAGCAGGCAAAAGATTAAAAACAGGCAAGGCGCCTGGAATCGATGGGATAAGTAACGAGATCCTAAAGTTGGTAATCGACACTTCACCCCAGATTCTGCTTCGATGCTTCAATCTTTGCCTTGAGAGAGGAGAGTTCTTCCGCGACTGGAAGCGACAGAGGTTAGTCCTCCTAAGGAAAGGTGAAAAACCTCTAGATAAGTTTTCATCGTACAGGCCTATATGCCTGCTAGATACGATGGGTAAACTTCTAGAGGATATGGTTCTCCAGAGAATGCAGGGCCACTTGGCCGAAGAGAATCGTCTATCCGATTACCAATTTGGTTTCCGTAAAGGCAAGTCCACAGTTGATGCCATCCAGGCAGTTGTGGACATAGCCAAAGCAGGAAAAAACAAATTGGGACCTGGGAAAAAGAAGAGCTTCTGCGCGTTGGTAGCAATTGACATACGCAACGCGTTTAATTCCGCAAGATGGAAAGATCTCATCGAGTCGATGGAAAAGAAAAACATGCCGCCCTACTTGTTGCGGATAATGGATAATTATCTTAGCGACAGGTGGGTTATATATGAGGGAGACACCTGCACTCTCAGGGAAGAGATGCAGCGTGGGGCTCCTCAAGGCTCGAGGGTGGGTCCATTTGTATGGAATGTATCTTACGATGATTTTCTGCGAATGGATCTGCCCGAAGGTGCGATGATCATCGGCTTTGCGGACGACGCGTTGTTCGTGTGCACTGCCGAGAGTGAGGAGGCTCTTGGGACATTGGTGAACGAATGTCTGCGACTAGCAAAAAGCTGGCTGGATACCAGAGGTCTTGAAATGGCCCTGGAAAAGACCGAGGCACTGCTAGTCACAGACAGACGTGGTTATGAGCTCCCACGAATCGTGATAGACGGATTCGAGGTCAAGTGGAGTAAACAAATTAAATACCTTGGTGTGGAGTTGGATGGAAGGTTAAACTTCCACCACCACATGGCTACGGCGTCGAATAAGGCGATCGAGTGTGCGGCTAATCTTTCACGGTTAATGCCAAATGTTGGCGGACCCCGTGAACAAAAAAGAAGACTGGTGGCGAGTGTCGCCCACGCTAAAATGCTCTATGCAGCACCAGCGTGGGCCCCATCCCTGAGGAGTAAAAGATGTGTTACCATCTGTGAAAAGATACTGTCGGCGCAGAGATCGATAACAACGCGTATCATCTCTGCATATAAGACGGTATCTACGAGTGCTGTGCAGGTCCTTGCAAGTGTCCCGCCAGCAGATCTCTTGGCGAGGGAAAGGGAAGAAATGTTTCTCTTTTCTAAAGAAAGCAGTTCCTGGGATGAGGAATTAAGACCAAGCAAGGGCCTGATCCGCAAAGAAGCGAGGCACAGGCTCATAGAAAGATGGCAGGAAAGATGGGATGGTGAGGGAAAAGGTCGATGGACCTATCGCCTTATCCCGGCACTCGCCACCTGGATAAATAGGAAACACGGTCAGGTTTCCTATTATTTGACTCAGGCGCTCACAGGTCACGGGTGTTTTAACTCGTACCTGTGTCGCTTTAAATTACGCGAGAACGAGGTGTGTGCATATTGCCAGTTCCCTGAGGACAACGCGGAGCACACCCTCTTCTCATGCAAAAAATGGGACTTGGAGAGGCGGGCCATGTTCGAAGGTGTAAACAGTCAAGTTACACCGGAGAATATGGTATCGCTGATGACCCAGTCGGAAGAGAATTGGCGGCAAGTCGAGAACTTCATAATCTCGGTTATGTCGAGGAAGGATCTCGATGGCCGCCAAAAAGCGTAATTTAAACAGCTTTTAATTTGTTTGTTTGTTTTTTATTAATTTATTTTGTGATTTATTTGTCCCTATACATTTTTTTTAATTTGTTTTGTTTTTTTATTCATCTTTGTACAATTTTATGTTTTCAATATTTTATACGCGTTTATTTTTATTTTTTTTTATATATCCGTTTATAATTTTATCTTTTGACTTTTTAAACTTCTTAAAATTTTTGTTTTTTATTGTTGTTGTGCTGTTAATTCCGCTTTTATATTGAAATAGTTTTAAATTTTTTAACTATTGACGCAGGAGAACCGCAGACACAGAACAAAGTCGCAGCAGCGATAGAGTTGGAGCGCCTCCCTCGAAGGCTAAAGTCTTACGACAGTTCCGAGGGAGGGTAAAGGGCTCCAAAAGAAGGGTTACGGGTTTTAGTGGGTCGGGCTGGTAGTAGGTCGCCAGTTTATTAAATTTATTATAACATTTATTTATTTATCCTTTTTTTTAAATTCCCTTTTTTTTTATTTTACCAACCCCACATAACCTTGGAGTGCGGAATCCAAGGTATCTGTAAACAGATTTCCCAAAATTCCCTAAGCAAAAAAAAAAAAAAAAAAAAAATAATAATAATAATAATAATAATAATAATAATAATAATAATAATAATAATAATAATTCCGTGCCCGGTTGGAACTTTTGTTCTAATTGGAACTTTTGTTCTACCCGGGGCGCATTAGAACCTGTTCTTTTGCGCGGGGTTGCTGGTCCTCTATCGGACGCGTGCCAGGTGGCGGATAGGTTAGCTTCCTAGAAATAGGTGGTATCGAGGAAATCAAATACTCGACGCGGACCAAAACCAGCAAACAAGAAACATCCATCATGAGCGATTGTAAAAACGAGGAAGAGTACCTGCGGGGTAATGCTACGGCTAAATCCCTCACTGGTTCCGATCGTCAAGCGCTTTCGAGCGTGAGGGCGGTGGCCAGTGGCCCAAGGATGCAGGAGGGCAACAACGCGTTGGTAGTGCCACAGATCATCGTGGACAGGTCGGAGAGACGAGGGAGTACGAGCAGCGTGACGAGTCAAGCCAGCTGCATTTCTGTCTTCAGTAATGCCTCGGCAAAGGACATTGCAAGTTGCAACCAAGATCGAGATGAATGCGTTAAGCTGCGGGAGGAAGAGGCAGCGAGCATTCTAGAAATGGAGGAGGAGGTCAGCAAGATGCTGAAGTCCTGTGAAGTCCAGAAGAATGTCAATAGGACAATCAAGGATGGACTCAAAAGCTTAACATCGCTCATAAGGGACGTAAAGGAGAAGCACGCAGCAGCTGCGAAAAAGGACGAGAGTTTCTACCAGGGTTTGACCTGGTCTGAAGAAGCTAGACAAGATCGCAGAGCTAGACGAGATCGCTGTAACGCAATCTTGTTGAGAAACGTCGTCTTGGATGCTCAGAAGCGGAAGAGAAGTGATCCTGAGCCTGCGAAGGATCCAAAAAGGAAAAAGGAGGAGAAACCAAAAAAGACTGGAGGCAAGGGGAACAAAACGGTTCCAAAGCCACACCAGGTCAAGAAGGGAAGAGCCACAGTGATCGTTAAAGTGGCCGAAGGAAAGACTTTCGCTGAAGTGCTGGCGAAGGTTCGAAGGGAGGCTGACCTGGAGGCCAGCCAGACAAGGGTTGTGGGAGCTTTACCCACTAAAAAGGGAGACCTTCTCATTAAAATTGTAGGGTCTTCAAACAAGAAGCTGTTCACCGAGGAGGTGACAAAGGTGATCGGCGATTTGGGTAAGGTGCAGATGGCGGATCGGCGAACTACGCTGGAAATCCGCGACATGGATGCCCTTACTGAGAAGAAAGATGTTGAGGATGCCCTGGAGAAAGTTTCCACAGTTCCAGCTGGAAGCAGAAAGGTGACGGTCCTTGGGCCAAATAAGCGAGGAGTGAAACTCGCTGTTGTGGTCACCAGCCAGGAAGATGCTGATAAGCTGGAGAAG